TAATTAATATGTAATTGAACACGTAATACAAAAGAATAATATGAATTAAATAATAAACGCTGAAAGAATTCTAAATATAAAATCCTCAAATCTATATATTACTATTTCAAACTTTCCAATATCCGTACAACTCGGGAATCCATCTAGTGGACCCCTAATAATCCCAAATGTAAGTAAATTACAGAAACAAAATCCATAACTAAACATGAAAAGAAATCCTATGTAGTCGGAAGAATGAGTGACTGTATCTGCTCAGCACGATCAAGCTCTAAGCCTGGAACTAGCGAACACCTGAAAAATAAGAGTGGGTCTGGCCAACATGCAAGTTTTATCTTACTACAATCCATACAGAAGCCCGATACGCCAATACATCCTAGATAGCTCGGCAATAACTAAAGTAGTCCATATAGATATAAATACACACTATAGGACGCTCACTAGCCTATAGTGTACTATCAGCCTGAATAGAAGGTAACATGTAAATTACACATTACAGTGTGCATGTGTACCTAGACCTACTAGGAAACATCAACTATATCTAATTACTCATCCCAGGCGATATACGCACCCTAACCATGATCCTGAGACTAAAGCTCATATCACGGTACCATAAGTATATATATAAATCCTTCCTAGTACATAAAATAAAACAAACATCCATTATGTCGTTCAACTATTTTAGTTGACAAGACATGAATCCATGTAGGATTTAACTATTTTAGTTAATCCATTCCATATGTATGAATAGGTAGGAATAAACGTTTTGATCTAATCCATCCCTAATATACCACCGTCCCATACCGGTGCATATAATGCATATGATCCATAAATGATGCACACCCATTTGAACATTAAATACATCCAGAGACAAACATAATAGAAGTCAAATATATGCAAGATCCTACTACGCATCCAGTATATGATGATAATCATATAACCTCCGTTTAAATTACTAGAGTGAAATAAACAATTTAAATCATCTATATCCATATAACTAACAGAACAGAAATTATAATTGTTCGTCAACTAACATCCACAACATAATATCATGATAATCAGAATGGTAAACTAAGCACATTATACTGGAATCCCAAAAATACTTCCAGACTAATCCATTTAATTGGCTAAAACAAAACTAGCAATTAAATCTTCCACCATCCTTAACAGCATGCAATTTAATACATAAATTTCATGGTGTCCATTTAATCCTCAATTACTAATCCAGAGCATGATATAATGATACTCAGAAGTATAAGCTGAGCACATTATACTGATATTTTAAAAATATACTCATACTAGTCCATTTAAGTTGCTAAACAAAAACTAGCAATTAAATCTTCCTCCCTCCTTGAAAGCACGCATATTAATATTTATATTTCATGATGTCCCTTACCATAGCCTAAACCAACATTTCTGGGTCTTTAACATGTTCAAAACATCTTTTAAAAAACCCCCAGTTGAATTACAAAATTACATTTTAGGCCCCTATCATTAGAAAACACCAAAAATACACCCATCTGGGTGTTACAGCAAGGTAGCCGGCTCTCCCTCTTAGAGAGCCAACTCTCTCACCTACGGAGCCGGATCCCTCCATTAGGGAGCCGGCTCTCTCCCTGAGAGCTATGCAACGCTCCCTCTGTTCGTCTTCTTTGCTTCCGATGAAGTACCGAACCCTCTGTACTGATTTTATTAAGATTTTTAGGATCCAATTTAAGTTTCAAAAGTTCCAGAACCTCTGCAAAACCCAATACGAATTGCTTGACAAAAATTGAAAACAAAAATCCATAACAGTTCATGCAATAAAACAATTTCAGCTACATAAAACGTAGAACAGTTTATAGCCTGATTTAACATGCATAAACATACGTTTTAAAAGTTTGATTAAATTCCTGGAGACTATATAGCATGCACAAAATACAGGTTTAAGAGAAGGAGTCAGAATAAACTTGCCTTCGATTTCAGTTTTGAAACCTTAAACTACCGTCTTTGAGTTCTGACAAATCCCTCCTCCTCTGTTCACTGTTCTCCTCCTCTGTTGCCTCTTGGTTCAATCCATGAGCAATACCATTTCTTTCCTCCTTGAGCCTCTCTATGTTTCTCTCTCTTTTCCTCCCAAATCCCTCTCTGTTTCTCTTTGCCTCACAGTACGTGAATAAGGTTCTAAAACCCTTAGCAGACACATAACTTATATATATATTGGCTTCTTTAAAAACTAATCCTAATTCCAACCTAACTGTAAGTCGGCTACTTCATCCATAAAAATCCTAAATTAAAGCCATTTAATTTACACAATGAAAACAATTATAATCTAATATTTAATTAAACCAATAGAGAAATAATGCACATAATTATACACTGCCACTTAAGCATAACATTAATGAAAACAAAGAATTAAAACAAATAACTCAATTAAATAAAACAATTAATTAAAACAAATAACTCAATTAAATAAAACAATTAATTAAAACAAACAACTCAATTAAATAAAACAATTAACAAAGAATTTAATTAAATAAAAACAATTAACAAATAGGCCAATAAGCAAATAATCAAACAAAAATACACTAAATAATAATAAAAATGCCGAGACTATCCTTTTAAAATTAGGAGTATTACTGTAACCACTGAGGAGTTCTTGTGCAAAGAGAATGGAGTCATCAATGTGTCTGCCTTGAATAAAGGCTGACTGTGTAGGTCTAATACCCTTTGTCTACCATCGTCTAGATGAACCCTCAAGACCCTCAATGTGACATAGAACCCTTAAGAAGAATAATGCAGAGGATAACCAAAAACCATAATTTATATATAGTTTTTGTTAAAGCTTGCTACTCACTTAGGCATCCTCATTTATATTCAATTTTTTTTCTTTTTTATTCAAATAAGGACTAGAGGATCGGTCCTCCTATACCCATGATATAGTGCAAATAAGGTCATTTAAAGTATGCTTTTTAAAAGGTAATTTAAAACTGAAACGGTGAAACCCAACGGCATTAATGATAAAATAATTTTAAAAAATTAAATTAAATTGAAATTTTACTTTCTTACCGATCTCCCTCTTCACGTTAATGTATAATTGATTGATATAAGAGAGAATTGTTTATTTTTGTTTATATATAATATATATAGTAGTGTGTATATATATATAGATATATATATATATGAATCAATGGAAGTGGAACATCGGCAAGCGTGTAAAACCAAACTCATACCATGGGATTGTTTTGGGACAAACTAATCAGTAAGATGATTCAGATATTTCTGAGGATAATATGTGGGCGAATTCAAGAAGATGGGGACGGATAGAGAAGGATATCTTCTATTGAAGTAGAATGTTGTTTGCATGTGCTGAGGAAGGATTCATCTAGAAGTGTTCCATTTATTTTTCATATGATGGTATGTAACAGCTCACGCTCGTTAATGAATAGAGGATAATGAATTGAAAGAATGAAATTAAATTGTGGATAAACCCTAGAGTGAAAAGTTGGGTTTCGGGAATTTTGTTTCAAGATTATAAGAAATTTTAGAGTGCGTAATCTAAATGCTTTAATCTTGTTCTTAACCCCTTGTAATCTTATTCTCTCAATACCTTTAATCTTTACATTAACAAATTTTAATCTTTTTCTCAATGTCTTTTAATTTTTGTCTTTAATATTTATCTCAACCACCTTTAATTTTTTTCTCAACGCCTTTTAATCCAAAGTCTTGAGTTACACGGTGCATGCAGACCAAGACTAAAGGATACCATTTTTTTAAAAAAAGTGAGTTTTCCTTTGCAAGCTAGGTAAGAGACCAAAGAGAACTATTTCATTGAAAGAATGAAATTAAACTGTGGATAAACCCTATCTTAAAAAGATGGGTTTTGGGAATTTTGTTTCAAGATTATAAGGAATTTTAGATTGCCTTACCTCAATGCCTTTTAATCCCTTTAATGCGATACTGAACCCTCAAGAAGAATAATGTGGACGATAAGAAGAAACCCTAATTTATAAATAGTTTCCTCATTTATATTCAATTTTCAAATATCTTAATGGGTATACGAACAAGTATTGATCTGAAGCTATGAAGCACCGATACGTGGGAATGGGCATCCGACACGAATACGCGTGTATGAGGCTCCGACACGTGCACGTGTCCGACTCCTCTGTAAAGGTGTCCTATTTTTTTTTATCATTTTTTTCATGTTGGACACGATGTCGGACACGGCAAAGGAAAAAAAAAAATAGGGGAAGAAAAGAAATTAATATTGCTTTTCAAAAAAAATAAAAAAAAATAATACAAAACTCTATGAAAATAATATTTTTTAACAATTTTATAATCAACTAACTATGTAGGCATATGATATATGTATAGTCTATTTTATATTTAGTCTGATTGGATTATTCGAATTAATAATTCACATCTAATTTGTTAACGTAACTTGAATTCAAATTATTAACAGACTATCTAATTAGATATTCAATTCATTTCAAAGTTATCAAATCGAATTTGAATTGAAATTCAATTCATTTGAGTCATTGACAGATTTAATTATAAGAGAAAATGAGACTCTTTCATTGATTCGGAGTACCACATAGTAGTTATTTAGGGCAATATTTAAAAAATAAATAAAAATCATAATATAACGGACAAATTGCTTTTTCTTATAATTAAGAAATGGTTCGTCAGCTGGCGTCTTCTTGAGAGGGTCGAGTGCCCTCTCTAATAGAGGGACATCTCAACAGACCTCCGCCCAAAGGTGGCTTTGACTCTTTGGCGTCCGCCCCAGTCCCTTACAAGGTTGTTAAAATCGGGATTCTACGTAGAATCGTTTTGGGCTCCGTAGAATCGGAATCGTAGAATCGGATCGTGAATCGTAAGATTCTACCAAATTGTGAAAAAATAATTGAAACTAACTTCCTAAACAATAAGATATGTAAAATATAACCAAAATAAGGCCAAAACATACCATATTACATATCCATGACTTCAAATCTCAAATCCTAACAATATTTCTAAAGTCCGAATATAAATAAAAGTAAAAGAAAATATTCCAAAGTCTGAATATAAATAAAAGAGGATGTAACACAAAATAAAATAGTCCATAAATCTCAAATCCTAACTCATCCCTCTCCAAAGTTAGAAACTAAAATTACATATCCATAAAGTCATCATTGAACCCTGCACCATCTTCCTCATTAGCTTCATCAATAGGATTTAATGGCTGCAAATCTTCATTATCATCAATTGCATAAATTTCCTCAACTACAAAGCATAAAGAAAGAACAAAAATTAATATAATGCAATAATTTATACAATATTATAATAAAAGTTTAAAATTTAAGTTCTTACGTGTCCTAGTCATCCTTTCTACTTCATCTTCTTCATCGGAATCATCTTCTTGAACTTTGTCATCAAGAACCCTCAACCATTTAGTTTTTGTTGGAAGAACCGAATCCTCTTTTTCGGTAATCCATTCATCATCGGAAGAGACATCTTCAAAAATAATTGGTTCTATGACAGCTTGTCTTTTCAAGTTCCTCTCCTTCAATTTTATGTTATACATAACAAATACCAAATCATTCATTTTCTTTTGTTGCAACCGGTTTCTCCTTTTTGCATGCACCTAAATATATTACCAATGAGGTTAAAACTTAAAATTAAACAACGACATTATTAAAATTTTAGAACTATGCATTATTCAGTAATTTACCATCTCAAAGGCACTCCAATTCCTTTCACATCCCGAAGAGCTACATGTTAAACTCAATATTCTAATTGCAAACCGCTTCAACTCGGGGCACTCATCACCATATGAATCCCACCATTCAGCTATTATATTAAAAAAATTATAACATTAAAGTTAAAACTATTCAATTTTCAATTGACATTTGAATTACGAAATATAATAAATTATCAAATATCAATATTGCATTTTCTAACCTGAAGACTTCTTATTCCTTGTCAATATTGCATTATCTAGGCCAAAGAGCCCTCTTGCAGCTTTGAATGTGTCCATTTGGCAATCAATTTTTACTCTCTCATTAGAATCAGGAACCATTCTTTGGAGACATTTATAAACTCCTATTTTCACATCTGCATCTAAATGGAAACTTGGACTATATTGGAATTGGGGATTCAGAAAATATGCTGCCGCATGCAAGGGTTGATGAAGTTGAGATGCCCATCTTGCATCAATGATCGTATAAATAGGTTCATACCTACAAAATCGTTAATTTAATGTAAGTCTAATAATTTTCAGTTTAACTATTTACAAACAATACTATATTCTAAATAATAAAAAACTCTATTACTCTTTTAGTTTTTAAATAAATTAAAACTTTACCACTTTTTGATGCCATTGAAGTTTTTCTTAATTTCCTCCTTGGCACGATCCATTGCTCCATAAATGAATCCCATAGCCGGTCTCTCATCAGAATCCACCAATCGGAGTACTTTAACAAGAGGTATTGCAGCTCTTAGACAATTAGCAACATTTGTCCAGAAGTTACGATTGTCTAAAGCCACGCCTTCAACTCTTTTCCCTTTACGTGTCCTTGCAAACTTACTAGACTTCCACTTAGAGGATGTAAAAAGATTCATCAATTCTCCTTTTAGTTCATTAAGACGCTACAAAGTTAAGTAAGAAGTGGCAAATCGCGTCACTGCAGGTCTAATAAGCTCCTTGCCATTTGTGAATTCCTTCATCCAATGTTTAAGCATACACCTTGAATAAATGTATAAAACAATCATCCTTCCATCTTCAATTGTCTCACTATACATCTCAATTTTTTTCTCAAAATCCTCCAACATCAAATCAATGCAATTAGCGGCACAAGGTGTCCAAAATAATTTTTTCCTCTTTTCCATCAACATCTCTCCAGCCAATTTGTAGTTAAAAGCATTATCAGTCACAACTTGTACAACATTTTCTTCTCCAACTTTTTCCACAATCTCATCTAACATTTCAAAAACCATTTGGCCAATTTTTGAAATATAAGATGTATCTCGGGATGACAAAAAGATAGTTCCCGATGGGCTATTGACAAGAAAATTACATATTGAACGTCTCCTCCTGTCAGACCACCCATCTGACATAATAGTACATCCAGTCTTCACCCATTCTCCTCTAAAATTCTCGAGTATATTCAATGCTTCACTCACTTCCTTCTTCAAGAATGTCTCTCTAATTTCATGATAAGAAGGAGGATTGAGCCCCCTCCCATACTCTCCAATCCTTTTAATCATAAGAGGAAATATGGGATTGTTCACACAATTGAATGGTATAGCACTGGTATAAAAAAACCGGGCTATGATTTGACATACTGCATCTCTCTCTTCCTTTTTAAATTTCTCATTCAATGTTGTTTGCCGTGACGAATTCTTTGTTACAAATCCATCCATTGCACCACCTTGCTTCCGCTTCTTTGATTGTTCTAAGGCTATATATTCACTATCATCATCATCGATATCAACATCATATAAGTTTTGTTTCTTCTTCTTTTGACTTTCCTCTGAATGAGCTTGAAGAATTTTTTGAAATTGTGTTCTCACTTCTTCGGGCACTTGTGGACACGGCTCAACATTTAAATGAGTGCTAGCCAAGTGATGTTTATGCCGATAAATACCCCCAGAATGGGAAGTGTTGCAATACCGACACTTCACTTTTTTTGAAGTCCCATCCTCAACCCCATGTTCCCATCCCGGATCTAATCTTTGTCCCAGAGCATTTTTTCTTGTAGTTTTACCAGAACTTCCAGCTGATGACATCTATTTCAATATTCATATAATTCAAGTTATTCAACCAATCAAAAGTTTTGCATTCATATAATTCATATAACTAGTTGGCAGGATTAGAAATACGGATAAGAAAACAGATCAGGTGTATTAAGCCTTAGGCCTGCTTTTCCTGCAACAAATTATTAAATTCACTACACATATATACTTCTTAATTTGAAGCTAGAACCTACTGTTTGTGTGTGTGTGTGTGTGTGTATATATATATATATATATATTCTGTAAAATACTAAAATCATGGAGCCAACAGAAAGTTATGTATTAACTAAGATTAATCCTGAGGTACATATATATATATTAAATATAAAAAAGGGTATATACGATTGTGTGTGTGACTGTGTGCTTAGTTTAGTACCTTCTCCATAATTTCCTCTTCTGTGCACTTTTCTTCCCAACACCAAAAACAACACCTACTCAGTTCCTCACTTCGTTTCATGTTTCTACTGTAGAAAGAGCTGTATGAGCGGCTACATAGAGAAGAGGAGAGACACTAGGATTGGACAACACTTCTCATTCACATCACAACTCAATTCAACTGTGTTTGTTCTATCTATATCCCCATATTTCCTCTCTCTCTCTACCTCATATCCTCTTTCTCTCTCTAAACCGTGCTCTTAGGTTTCTGCCAATGGAACTTCATTCTCTCTTAGGTTTGAGTTTTGTAATAGTATTATTGTTCCATGAATTGCTCATCTTTTTCTCTATTTTTTTTTCCTTAATCCATTATAAAAATATTATATTATGTACTTGTGAATCACAAGTTGTGATGGAGAGCTAGCCATTATAAAAAAAACTGATTTCACTGAATAAATTATGCATATGCATAGCTTTGCTTTTAGATCTGTTCTCCTCTCCATCTCTCTTAATTTACCTCAACATTCCTCTATTTTACTGCCCTAAATCTACCTCTATTTTTTTTTAATTCAAAGCAGGTTTCCAAACACTAGAAATAAAAAATAATAATAAAAATTCATCAAACCAGTCTATTCAAAATTATATATATATTCAAAACAGGATTTGAAGTTATTTATTATATCTTTGTGTGTATATATTTCCTATTATTTTTCAATTGGTTGAATTCTCTCCTCACTGTCATGGATCCTGTTAATTAGTAGTTGGAGATTCTTGAAATTTCTTGATCAAGGAAGAAAATAAATATATAACATACCTGGTCGAACCTGTAAGCTGCTGTATGGATCCGATGATTCCGATCTGCAAGCTATGAGCCTCTGCCCTCTGCACTGCCGCCCCCTCTCAGTCCTCGACTCCCCACTCCTCTCTGAGATAAGGTTCGTAACTTCGTTTTGTATTTTATGATTTATAAAATAAATAATTAAAATATATAATTTGGTAAATAAATTTTTATACAAAATTTGGGCCAGGCTTTGGCCCAAACAACTAAAAGAATAAAGGCCCAAAGACCAAATAGTATAAAGGCCCGCCCAAAGGCCTCAAACACACATTTTTGGTAGAATCGGTAGAATCGTATAGAATCGTACGATTCTACGATTCTACGATTCTAACAACGATTCTAACGATTCTACCTACGATTCTATCAATTGGGCGATTCTGATCCGATTTGAGTCGATTTTAAGAGCTGAGTCGTAGAATCGTGCGATTCTACGACTCAAAATCGCGATTTTAACAACCATGGTCCCCTAGTTATCAAGATATTAAAAACGATTTCCTCCGTTTCAGGCAATTGCCAAAATCTTGTCTAATATACATATATTTTTAGTCATTTTTTCCTTTTTTTTTTTCTTTCTAGAATTGAAGGAAATTTGTATTTTTTACTTTCAATATCAAGACTATAAATTCTTTAAAATATTGACATAATACTTAATTTATATATAGAAATCTAGGCCCCGTTTGGGAAGAAATTATTTGATGGTTTTGGTCTATTTAACATTTGGTGGACTAATTCAATGAAAACCCTCAGATTATAAAATTTTGTAATTTATTAATACATTTTTGTGGAGTTATTTTCTCAATTCAAAAGTCAGTATTTAACCTGTTTGAGAGCTTTAAGTCCTTCCAAGTCTGAAAATTTCATTTGGAAAAAATTGTGACGTTTGGTTAAAAGTCACTGGACATGAAGTCCATCTCAAAGAAGTAGTAAAATGTTACTTTTGAAACCTCTTTTTAAAAAGCCAATAATTTTTAATGATAAATTTATTATTTTACTAATTTACCCTTATATTTTTCATTGATTCACAACATTTTCTTATTATATTTCTTGGTCAACCATTCCACCACCGCTACCTTCCATCACCACTACCACCACTACCACCGGGACCTTCCACCATCACCACCATTGCCACCGCTACCACCACCCGTCACTACCACCGTCACCAACCACCATCACCCTTCACTACCTCCACCATCACCCTTCACTACCTCCATCGCCACAATGACACTTCGCTACCATCGCCACCAACCACCACCACCATTGCCACTGCCACCGCCACCATCTGCCACCACCACCTTCCAAGAACTTCACCATCACCCTCCACTACTACCGCCATGAACCACCACCATTGCCACCTTCTTCTACCGCCACCTTCCAGGCTTCCACCACTACCACCACCGTTGCCTCCACCCTCAACCGCAACCTTTCACCACCACCACTGCCCCTACCACCACCACCAACATCATCACAATATTCCACCACCACCACCTTCCATCACAACCACAATCACCATCACAATTGCTTTCTGCCACCACCACTACTAGCATTATCATCGCCTTCCACCAATGTCGCCTTCACACTTTTTTTATTAGAAGGTTACAATAATTGTCAAGGATAAAGGATATTA